ATTAAATAAATTTAGCCAATCTCGACCCAATATGTTTGCAGCACCATCCTTTACAACATACAATTTGACAGGTTTACAAACATTTAAATAATCAACATTTACTACAAAATATCCACTAGGAGAAAACAATCCTCCATTATAACTACACAGCATTATGTTATCTTTAATTAATTTATATTTATTAGCAAAATGTTTTTCATAATATTTTTTATTAAGTCCAGAAATTTGGGCTCCTGAATCGATCATAAAAACATGTTGTTTATTATCAATTTTTATGTTTACATTAAATGGATTATTTTTAAAATCTTTGTCAAAAATTCCAAACATTAGGTTCGTTCCAACTCAGCCAAAAACCATTCAATGTACGGTCACGGTCATGCGCCATAGGTTAAAGGCGTTCCAACCGAGAGATGATCGTTTACCGTACAGTTTCGTTGGCGTTCCAACCAAACCTGGGATCGTTCGAGAACTGGTTTTAGCACCGTCATTTCGATCCCGAGTGGAAAGCAAGAACCGCGTGGACTGATCCATGACTGACATGCGTAATTCAATTTTTGTCACCTGTTGTTGTTGTTAATGTTGTTGTTAAACAACCAATTTCCAATCTAACTTATAAAACTGTAGCATTTTAATTTTTTCAAGTGAAAAAAAGTACAAAATTTATTATCAGCTATTTATTGCTAATCCTTGATGTTATCAGCTTGCATGGATTCAGTTTCAGATTCTTGATAATGAATTAGCGTTAGTGTTCGATTTTCCTTTTTTATATATTATTTTGTAATCCTAATCCTATATTCTTCTATTTTAATTTGCAAACAAACAAATTAAGGGTTAAAGTTATTTGAACTGTCGTCATTACGAAAACGATCATAAAACCGTTCCAACTACCCGTTGTTTCTGTACCAAGATAAAACCGTGCAAGGTCAACGCATGCGCCTGCAATCGATCCTAACAGTTCCGAAACCGTTTCATGACGATACGAAAACGGGGGGTTGGAACGAACCTATTGTTGCTGCTGTAGTTTCCTGCTCATCATCGGATTCTCCACATTCAGTCAGAATAATAATTATTAAAATTTTGTACATACCCATTGTTTGCTTTGTTTACAAAATTAAAACCTGTGTTTGTTGTGCAAACCTTGGCCAGATGACCCATTTTTTTACATTTACTACATTGGTACATCCTGTACTTGCATGGGGGTGAATGACTTTTTCCACAGCACCTGCATTTTTGACCCTGTTTTCCATTTCTTCTTGTCGACGCTGATCTAGAACGATTTCGGCCGCCATGTTGGCCTCGATCTGTCACTCGCTGTCGATGTCCACTTCCACTTCCATTCCATCGTCCTTGCTCGTTGACATTTTGGTAGTGGGCGGATCCTTTACCATGGTTGCTGCCATGTCGTCCATTTTGATTTAGCGGGAATTTGGAACTTCTTTGTTCACCCATGACGTAATTTACACGCGGATTTGCTGAATTTTCTTCATTTTCGCAGTTTTCTCGCTGCATCGCCAAGGTAACGAGTTCTTCCAACGCTTTAGAACACTTTTCTTCGCAGATTCTATCCAATTTTGAACCTTTTTGCAAACCACATACGAACTTATCTCTCAGGACATTGTTCAGGTCATTCTGAAAATCGCAATTTATTGCTAGGCTTCTTATTCTTGCGTAGTAATCGGCCACGTTTTCACCATTTTCCTGCCTCGACTCATAAAACCTTCTTCTCTCTCTCCATACATTTATTTGGGGACCATATTGCTTGTTCAGCAGATTAACGAGAGCCTGGAACGACTTTGACTTCGGTAATTCGGGATGGCACAGATTACGCAACAGTTTGTAAGTTTGGACGCCAATCACACTTAAAAGCGTCGTAATTTTAATATTTTCTTCTTTGATGGCATTCGCCGTTAAATGCTGCTCGAGCCGTTCTTGGTATATCGTCCAGTCATCAGATTTTTAGCCGAATTCTGCAAACCTCGTGGTAGCCATTTTGTACTTGATCACTCACGTCGCGGTTTTACCGATTTAAAACACCGATCTCGTCGCCAGTGGTTAAGGGGTTCTTTCTGTTATCAATAAAACTAGTCACGAACGATAATGAGTGTTGTATTAAAAATATCACAGTTAAGATTATTGTCGGGCTTATATTACAGGGTACTTTGGATGAGGCGCGTGGCTTGTCTTTGGGCTGTTCTCTAGTGGACTGCTTCTTCCAGTCGCTGTGTCATGGAGCTTCATACTTTGTTCCTTTCCGGAAGTAGACGGCGCTGATAGGCGGTTGCTTAATTGGTTGCTAAGTTGGTTGCCTATACGTATATAACATTTATTGACTTAAAGGGATGACAATCAACATAGTTCAAATTAGTATATAAATCATATTTTTAAATAGGTTAGTGTTAGTATTTTAAGAACAATGATTGTAGCTCCATTAATTGTACTATTTTCCATAATTGGAAATAAAATGTATGTTAACCATATTCCCACTAGTAAAACAGCAAAAATTTTTATTAATAAACACAAAAACGATACTGATTGCTATCAAAATATGGAATTGACATACATTAGCAATTATCCATATGTTTACAATTATAATTTAACTGAAAACTGTGCAAGAGAATGTAATTATTTTAAAATTAAATTCTATTTAAACAATAAGGAAACTATTTACTCAAACTGGATTAAATTGAATGAAACAGCAGCATGTACAGATAGCAATTGTAATGGATTTTTAATAGGTTTAGTTTCAACTATATCAATTTGTATTATAATAATATGTACTATATTATTGTTTTTAAAAAATAAAAGCCATTACTAAACATGATTTAAAAAAAAAAAGTTTATTTTATTTCTCCCCACTTTTTTCATAACAGTATCAGGAATATAAAGCAAATGTTTGCTTTTAAAAAACGTTAGTATCTACAAAATGTTTAGCAAAATCAGTGGTACCAGTACGCGTGAATCGGAAAAAGTGGACGATTCGTCGATTATTAGTGCTAAACGATATTATTTAAATAAATCTCAAACCAAATTTATCAATATTGGATTATCCGTTGAATATAATTTTGAACCTCATATCCAGAATGAAGAAGAATGGAACTCCATTCTACAGTATCAGGGAGTCATAAGCTGTTACAGTTGTTCCTATAACAATTTCAATGAGCCAATATATATTCAAAAAGTTGCTATTTACTTTGAAAAACTGGACCAAATAACATTAATAAAAATTGTAAAAGGTAATGGTTATATTTACCAAGGCAACGAAAGTGTCTGCAAGCTTTGGAAACTTGCGCCTCTAATTGAATATCGTTTGGATATTTTACGAAAACAAAAGTTCAATACATATTTGAACTTTTTCAAAAGTTCTGGACCCATTGAAGAAGACAACCTGCAAAAAATTCGAGACAGCCAGTGCCTGAAAGACCATCCAAATAGTGAAAATGTCAGTACAATGTTGGAGTGTCTCATCTGTTACCCGAAGCAATTAATTGAACATTTGAAAGTGAAACGTGGCCATGAAAAAAGCAGTTTCTTTTGATGAAAGTAGAAACAAAATTCATTTAATGGTTGCATGGAATTTTGCCTACAGGAGATCAAGAATGGTGTCTCAAGAGCTTATCGAAAAGTACCATTTTAACAGAAGAATTGAAAATTGTCAACTTATTTTAGAACCTATCCTGGATAAAATACACAGAGATACCCTCTTCAAAAATAGATTTGTTGTGAAAAATGTTTTGAAATTGTAATTCTTGTTCGTAAAATCCTCCTAGAATATCTTGGCTGTTTTCATCTTGAATCAAATAATGTTGTTGGGTTAGTAATTTTCAATGTTTTTATGTGAAAAATTTCATTAGACCAATTAGGGGTATAGCCCTTGGAAAAAGCTTCTCTATGCTTACTTATGCGTACATAGTCACCCTTTTTGAATTTTGGAAATTTTGGATCGAACGTCTTTGCATGACTAAAAGCCATCTTTAAAATTTTACCTTCATTTCTTTTATTAACTTTCTTAGGTTCAATATTTATTGTTGAATGTTTTGTGTTGTTATAATTATTAACAAATTCTGGTAAAATATCTAGCCACTTGTAGTTCCCCTGCATACTAAATTTCTTCCACATTTTGTTTTTCAAGGTTCTATTCGCCCTTTCAACAATGCTTGCTTTTACATTAGAAAATGTACTATAGTGATTTATTTTATATTTTTCCATTAACTTGTTAAATTCTTTGCAAAAAAAATCCCTCCCCCTGTCAGTTTGAATATTTTTTGGGGTAGTTTTTTTATACTTTTCAAGATTTGCCCCATCGCTGCAGCCACATCTCTTCCGGTTTTAGATTTTACTGGTAGCGCCCAAACATACTTTGAAAACACATTTATTACAACCAAAATATATCTGTTGCCTTTGTTTATTTTAGCATATGGTTGCATTTCAACCAGGTCGGCCTGTAGTAAATCATTTAGATGTTTTACTATGACCCGCCTTCTTTTGAAAACCCTTCTTGCCGGCCTATGCAATTCATTTACTATGTCTTCTTTAACACTCATAATTAAATAACTAAGTTTCCACTTGAACCTGACATTTTATTAATAATTCACCGTAGAATTCAGTTATAGAACTATTTTCAACACGTCGAAATGCTATCAAATCATTTTTTTTAATCTCTCTACCCTCTAATTTACCAGTTTTTCCGTTAATCAACAAACTCACATCTTTTTTAGGATATTCACCGCTTAATATAGTACCCGACTCAAATGGATATCTATATGAAGTTCTTAAACCATCTTCTAATAACACCAAATTCTTTTCGGTTGGATTGTGTCTACCAACAAATGGTAAAACTACAACGTAAAACAATTTTACGTCTGCAATGTTAACAATTTTGAGTGATTTAGTGTCGCCATCCTCACATTTATCAAAAATGTGTGTACCAAACTACCAAATTTATTGACCGTCATATTTCTCTTCAAACAAAACACTGATCCTTTCACCCCATCTTTCACTATTTATAGTATAACTTTAGCTTCTTTCAACTCTTCTATAATAGATATTATTTCATTTCGATATCCATTATGACCTGCAGTCTTGGAAGCTAATAGAATTCGAAGTCGATTTACTAGCTCATTAACATTATCCCAATATACATAATCTGTACTTTTTTTATTACGTTTCAAAATAAGACCTTTTCCAATTCGAGCGACCCCCGTTTTTTTAGCCGCTCTATAAGGTGCTACAGGTTTTTCAAATACCGGTCTGGGAATGATTGTTTTAGATTTTGTGATTCCTTTTTTATATAAATATGGTCCGATAATAGTAACGTATTTTACTGAACTGTTTCCTTGTACTTGTTCATTGGGATTATTATTTCTGCGGTACGCATTAGTTCGAGTTAATATATCCATGTAATTATCCAAATCGGCTTTTTTATAGCCCACAGGTTCTTTTTTGAATAATAATTCATACAGCCCTGGGGTGCCTGGGTAAAGAATATCAAGTACTTTTATATCTTTATTGATCAAGTTAACAGGAATTTGACTAGAACCCAAAAAAAAATTGTTTGTTTCAAGATCGTGGACAATACCATAATTGTGATCAAATTTATGTTCTGTATCTTTTACACTATTGTCAATATACGTTCTAGGTAACTCGTGAAAATCACTCAACCAGTCCAGATAGACTGGATGTCCAACATAGGTTTGTATTGACTGCCTTGTTTGTTCCAAAATGTCAGATAAATTTCCAATTGTTTCAGTCGATGATTGAGGTGAGCTTTCGAATGTCACTTCTTCTCTTATTGGAGGCATCTCTCTTAGTGAAGGCATCTCTCTTATTGAAGCCACCTCCCTCGCTGAAGGTAATCGATTTATGGACATATCAAAAAATGACGGTTGTTCAAAAGGTAGAATAGGAGTCTTTCCACTTTTTCGAGTTTTTTCTCTAGTTGGAATTGAAGTTTTATAGGAAGATTTTGGGGTTGAAAACTCCTCTTTTGGATTAAACTCTTCTTCCTCTTTAAATGTTAGTGGTTCGGCTTTCCCAATATTTGTAATAAATTCTTTAAGTGGTTGTGTAATGGGCCTATACGCTTTCTCCAATTGTGCGGTCGAAGAAGCTAACTTGAGCGCTTGGCATTTATCCCTTACTGCTTTTCTTGACTTGACTAATTCTCTTGCTGAGCGTTTATCCATGTTATTTTTCAATCGTTTTATAAATATATAAATGAATCGAGGTTTTTTCTATATCTACCAGCACTTAAGTCACAATCTTTGTCAATTACCATAAATCCATATGGCTCCTTCCAACAATAAGTGCATATTTCTTTAAACTGATCAAATGACATGTCCATTATGCAGTGGTCATTATATATATGTTTCAAACTTGTCGAATCTTGTTTAAATAATATAATTAAATTTGAATTTTCCCTTATTAATCTTTTGAAAATTGAGGAATATCCTTGAAAAATTAGAAAGCAATCGGTATTTTTATGTCTACCTAGTGTGAAATAATCTCTTATCACACTTTGATTCTGACATGGAATATCATCGAATATAATTATAGAATTTGATTTTATATCATTGGGTGGGACACTCATCATTTTCGTACTCAAAATATCCAATTTCCTTTATAGGTAGTAAGAGTTTTCTCAAGTATGCATATTTAGGTTGTGTCAGTGATTTTGAATAAATATATACATTTTCAAATCTAACACCATTTGGATGCTCTAATAGTGTAAGCATCAGATTGGTTTTTCCTGAATTTGAACTTCCAACAATAAGCGCTCTTTTCGAATTTCCACCAAATAAATCACCATGTTTTCTAAATTGCTGTGAACTCACTTTTTGATCATGATTAACTATGGGAATTGAAAATTTTTGCTTTTCTATTCTCATATTCGAAATAGTACTAAGAAAAAGAAAAGAGAAAAAAAGTATTTATATATAAGTTCCTCCATTTTTTTGTTTTAGTTCCAAATTGATTCTTTTGATGATTACACATTATACGAGAGACAGTAAATTTAAAAAAGGCTCAGGTCTAGTAAATAAGCTTATAAACAAACTTCCTTTTGAAATCCACATTCCTGGGTATAAATTTTGTGGCCCAGGCACTGACTTGAAAACAAGATTGGCCAGAGAAGACGTCGGTATCAATTCTTTGGATGACGCGTGTCGGGAGCACGACATTGAATATTCTCAATCTGAAGAACTGTCCAAAAGACACGAAGCAGATAAAATTTTAGCCGACAAAGCTGCTAATGTATTTGATGAATCTGACTATGTGGTCAACATTAGTAAAGTGAACGCTATTTGTGTGGATTGTAATATTTGTGTGGGCTCGTTCAATAATGGTAAACCTGTACACATCGTTCATCAATTTTACCCCATAGTGGCCGCAGGGTATAAAATAGTGGAGTCTCCCATACCTATATTGTATTTTCCAATTAGCGTTAAGACAATTAACAACATAACTGTTAAAATAATTGATCAAGACGGAGATCTTATTAATTTTCGCCAAGAGACAATAAAAGTTAGACTACATTTGAAATCTGAAGGTGGTCTAAATGGTTATTAGATATAATAGAAAAATTCAACCGCAACCTTTCGAGGAAATAAATACTAAAAAAACTTATATAAAGAAAAAAAGTAGAAATCAATCCAGTATAACAAAAAACAGCTTACAACTAACACAACATAATCGCAGATTTTTAGAATCACTGGGACTTAAGGTGTTGATATAATGGATATTTTAAATGTAAATGAAAAGTTATACGTCGACAATTCAATTATCAGCTCAGAGCTACATAGCTATCAACTATTTATTTCATCAAAGTTTGACTATAATGATGAAATACGAATACCCATTCAAGAATTGGATACCTACACTTTACCTTCAGAAAGTTTTCTACATATTGAAGGGACATTAGCAAATACTGAGGGAAAATATACAAAAAGACTTCGATTTATTAATAATGGAATTTAATTTCTCTTTAGAGAAATTCGTTATGAGCTGAATGGAGTTACTATTGATTCAGTGAGAAATGTAGGGTTGGCTTCTACATTGAAGGGATACCTTTCTTTCAATACCAATGAAAGTTTGAAATATGAAAATGCGGCTGGTTTCCCAATAGAAATGAAGCTGACAGAATTTTGGTTGACGATAACGGAAAATTTTGTGTAACCATACCGCTTAAAATGCTTTTAGGATTTTTTGAAGATTATAAAAAAATAATAATTAATATGAAGCAAGAATTGGTTTTAATTAGAGCTAGCAATGATCTGGATGGAGTTCTGTTTAAAGATGATCTAGAAATTAAAGTAACCACGAACGAAATACCTGCTATCACTTTTGATAAAATATATTGGAAAATACCCCATATTTTAGTAGAAATACCTCAACAGCTTGCCCTGACAAAAATACTTGAAACCAATAAAGATATTTTAATAGGGTTTAGGAGTTGGGAAATTGTTGAATATTCTTCCCTACCCGAAACAACTCGCCATACCTGGCCAGTTAAGACAACAAGCAAGCTCGAGTCACCGCGTCATGTTGTTATTGCCTTTCAGGAAAATAGAAAGGGGGAAGTTAATAAAGATATGAGCCAGTTTGATGATGTCGATTCAACAAACATACGAATATTTCTAAATTCTGAGCGTTACCCTTATCATGACTTGTATTTGAACTTTAAAGAAAATAAATTTTCACCCCTTTATGAAATGTTTGCAAATTTCAGAAATTCGTATTATGGGCTTAATAATGAGCCAATTTTTAATCCTGAAAATTTTAAAAAAATATCACCAATCACACATATTGACTGTTCTCATCAAAAAGAATCTATCCAGACTGGTTCGGTAGTCATGAGAATTGAATTTGAAACCAACAGTAACATTAAGAAGGATACATCAGTTTATTGTCTCATATTACATGATAAAATATTTAGTTACAAGCCCCTCAATAAAATTGTTAAACAACTTTAAATAAAACGAGAGTATCTGCTTAATATTTGTCATTATGTCTAAGAACTTTGAAAAACAACTATTGAAACACATGATAAAGCTTGAAAAATTGAAAAAGCAAATAAAAAACTATAGTGCCAAAAAACAAATGTTCAAAAAATTTTCACAATTGAAATTATGAATATAATTTTGGATGTTCAAGGATTTACTATCGAAAATAAAAAGTTTATTGTAAAGGAATTGGCTTGTTATGATGGAAAAAGAATTAGTCACTACATTTTTAAGCCCCCTTTTCCATTTCATTATCTATCGCCAGAACATCATAGACAGGCTACTTGGCTTATTAACAATCATCACTGTATCGACTGGAATGCAGGATTCACACCTCTTTTCAAATGTGCAGATATAATAAAAAATTTATGTTCTCATGCTTCCTATGTCTATGTTAAAGGCTCTGAAAAGGCTGATTATGTTAGAAAATACTCCAACAAACCAGTAATAGAGCTAGATGAACAACCCTCTTTGAAGAAAATGGATTCAAGCTGCTTTTATCACAACAAATCACCATGTATCTGTGCCTTATCAAATGTTTTTTTCTTGTATGATCAGATTTTTATGTAACAAAACTTTATAAAAATTTGTGTTTCTTTTTTTATTCATTTATAATATCATAGTTTTTTCAGTTATTACAAAAGCCTAAAATTATTGTTTCATTGATTAAATATGTAAAAATCATTTTAATTAAATAATACAAAAGTTTTTTTAAACTAGTTTTTTCATACATTTGGTTAAATAGTTAGTACAGTTAGTTAATTCTAACCTATTCAATTTCCATAGAAGCATTTCAAAATTTTTATTTATCAAATATTCACGACAGGTTTGTGCTGCTTCTTCACATTGTTGTGCATGCTCCATGTATCTCAAGTATAGTCTCAAATCCTGAGCCTCAGTTTCCTGTCCCTCTATGGCATAAAATTCGGAACAAACTTTAGACATTAGAAAGTCTTCACACAATTCCCTCACAATGTCTTCCATATTAAATTAATGCTTCTTCTACAGCCATAAATCTAACTTTTTCTTCTTGTTCCTCGATATATTTAATTACCTCTCTATCTGCAATATCATCCTTCAAATCTGCTATTTGCTCGTCAAATCCGAAGCTCGTCAACTTATCCAATAGACTGAACAAATTTTTGTTTATTAAATACTCGTTACAAGCACTAGCTGCACCATAATGTTTTTCAGCTAGATTATAATACCAATCCACATATGAAGGTCTACTACGCATACAATTGATATCGTAATACCTTGCACTTTTTTTAAACTCACTAGACAACTTTTCAATAAGCTGATTGAATCGATTAAGGTTAACTGAATCAGACATCGTGTACGAATGAAAAGTCCCCAACTAGGAGCCAATAAATATGGTGTATGGTAGGGTAGGAAATTCGCGGTTGACGACTGGTGGTGGACGAATGGTAGGAAAGTGGCGGGTGGGCGGGCGGGGCCGTCTGGTGAAAGTAGGTCAGTGGGAAAGTAGGTCAATGGGAAAGTAGGTCAGTGGGAAAGTAGGTCAGCGCCGGGGTCTACCCCCCTATTCCATCTACTCCCAACTTAACGCAACTTAACCCAACTTAACCCGATTTAACCCAACTTAGCTTAACCCAACTTAACCCAACTTAACCCAACTTAACCCAATTTAACCCAATTTAACCCAATTTAGCTTAACCCAACTTAACCCAACTTAACCCAACTTATCCCAACTTAACCCGACTTAACCCAACTTAACCCAATTTAACCCAATTTAGCTCAACCCAACTTAACCTCTTTTTTTTTTTTTTTTTTGTTTTTTTTTTTTTTTTTTTGATAGTAGGGGATGGAAAATGCATTATGCACGCCTAGGGCACATTGGTGTTCGGGCGCCCCAGGCAGTGTGGGACTCTCACCCACTAAAAACCATTCCCTACTCTTCCCGGGACCGCCGTTAGGCATTGCTTCGGGGAAAATTAGCCCTCTACTGTCCATTCATTCGTCTCTGTACTTCCTCCCTCATTCTCTCTTCCGTCTCCTTTTCGACCATAATTCCTTTTATCATTGTGGTGATTGCGTTCCAGTTTCCTTCCGATTCCAAAAGGAGTCTGCCAATGTTGTTTTTGGATAATATAGTCTGGCATGCCCGTAGTGCGGGAGCTCTGATATACTCAAATCTCGCGCATTCGAAAATTGTGTGTTCTGGGCTATCTCTGAGTCTGCAAAACCAACATTCATCCGATTCTGTCCTTCTCATCCTCTTCAAATAGGTACCAAAAACTCCGTGCCCAGTCATGGCTTGGGTTAGGTGAAATTCGACCTCACCGTACTCCCTATTCACCCAGTCCTCTATATTAGGTATGAAGTATTTTATCCATCCCTCATAGATATTCCATCTTTGTTGCCACTCCTGCATGACCCTTTGTCTTGCCTCGGCCTTAAACGCTATACCAGTGTTGTGTATCTCCACTCTTTCTCTTACCAGTAAGTCCATTGGTGGCATCCCTGCTATTGCCAGCACCGCTTGTGTGGAGGCAGTTCTGTATGCCGATGCAATAGCTATGGCCAGTCTCCTATTGACTCTTTCCATTTTAGTTTGGTATTTTTTGCTCTTCAGGGCCACGCTCCAAATCGGGGCAGCATATAGCATCGCAGAGATTACCGCGCTTTTAAGAATCAGTCTTTTGCTCGACCTTGGTCTTGCCGTTCTTGGCATAATTCTAGTAAGTAGGTTTATCATCCTATTCGCCTTTTCAGTAACTTGGTTTATGTGTTCCGCCATCCTGTAGTTCCTATCCACATATACCCCCAAATATCTCACTGCCTCCTGGCTGCGGACAATAGTGTCATTTATTTCGATTTTTCCAGTATGTTACCTACAAAAGACGTAAGCCCCGTGTTCTGGTTGGCAACAAAGATGACACCGAATTAAATATTAGAGCAGTTCCCAAGTCAGTCGACTTGCACGTATATAGATTGCATCCTGATACCACATCTATGCAGATCACGAACCTTTTGAAGTCTCTTTTTCCTGAAGTGAAGACGGAAAAGATAGAATCCAAAAATTCGAATATATATGCATCTTTTAAGGTTACAATTCTACAGAAAAATTTCAATAAAGCAATGGATGCCACCGTGTGGCCAGTAAATACATGTGTAAGGCGTTTTTTATACCCAAGGAGCCAAAATCCTCGAGTAACAAATTAGGATTTCAACCATCACTTTTGCTTATTAATATTCAGACTCTGAATAACTCAAAAATTGGCGAATTGGAAGTGTTTCTCAATGAATTCAAGGACATAAAATTGATATGTATAAATGAAATCTGTGCTTTCAAAGATTCGATTCTACATCTGAATATAAGTGGTTTTTACCTAGCAAGTGCATTTTGCCGAACTCATACAAGAGGTGGAGGTGCTGGAATCTGGTGTCGCCAGGATCTTCAAACAAAGGAGATAAGTCTAAGCGATTTGTGCGTTGAAGGCGAATCTGAAATTTGTGCCGTTCAATTTAGAAATAATAATAACCAATTATTCATTGTTATTTGTTGCTATAGACCACCAAGTGGTAAATACCATGTTCTTGAAACGCAAATGATTAGGGTTATGGAACGTCTATATAGACCAAACATAAAATTTATATTATGTGGTGACTTCAACTTGGATTATTTGCAACTGGGAAGTAAGTACCAAAGCTTTGCAAATTCGTTGCTTCAATTTAATCTTGAAAACATTGTTTTTTGGCCAACCCGGTTAACAGATACTACAATTTCTTCTCTGGATCAAATTTACCTAAATTTCGAAAACAAAGGCTCCAGCTGCGTCCTTGATTTTCCACTCTCTGATCATAGAATTGTTTTATCAGAAGTCGATTTTGGTAACACCGAAAGCGCGGTTAATTCTTATTACAGTCGATCATTCAGCGAACAGGCAATTGAAGCTTTCAGACAGGACCTGATAGGTGAAGACTGGTCATACTTGTACAATATGACCGACATCAATTCTGCTTTTGAGTACTTTCATGACATATTTCGTCACTATTTCAACATAAGATTTCCGTTGCTTTTACGCTTTACAAGACAAAAATCTAAAAACTGGGTAACTTCAGATGTAAAAAAATCGAGTCTTGATTTAAAGGAATATTTTTGGATTCAGAAAAAATATCCAGAGTTTAAAACCATCTATCTTCAGAAAAAAAAATACCATAAACTCCTTATCAAAAACAGCAAGAAATTTTTTTACCAGACTAGAATAACTTCTAGCAATAACTTTGTTCGGGAAACTTGGAAAATAGTGTCTGAGTTACGAGGATCCAACTCTCGAAGGTTGTCATATCTCGAAGTTACTGCTTCTTCTGGGGTTGTGTCCAATAACCCAGATATTGTCTCCAAAGAATTTAATCATTTCTTCATAAATACTCCCCAAAACTTGGTAAAGAAAATAAATCTGGCAACTACTAATTTTGACTATGTTTTAAATAAAGATAGGGTCAGTGTGCTAGTTTTCGACCAGTTAACTGAAACTTCCACTTCAAAACACGATAAAAATATGTCTAGTTAAAATATATTAATAAAACTAAGATTTTCTAAAAGTCTGAAGATTTGCGAATTTATATTTTATATATGTTTTTAATTTTTGTTTCATGAAATGTGTAATTTTAATAAAAATATGAAAAAAGTGCCATTTAGCTAGTTCTCGACCATTGGTCGCAATTTCCGACCATTTTTGGGTTGGTTTTCGACCACCTTTTAATAAGCGTAAAAAGGGCAGTTTCTTATACAAAAAAAATGGGAACATAAGTTTACGAGAATAAACGGATTAATATCTTCGAAAAAACTTATGGGATTAAAAAAACAATAATAAATTCTCTTTTAATAAGGTACTACCTAGTACCTATACATATAGACAAGTGCCTAAAACGTAAAAAAAAATATATAAAAACAAAACAACTCAAAAGATAAAAATAAATAAATAAAAATCCATTACAAAAGGGAAGTTCTTATTAAAACTAAAATTGGAATATTTACAAATATGGAACTGCTAAAACTAGAAAGTTTCAGGCTAAGTACCATCGTCATCAAAAGTAACTGGAACAGCATCACCTCAGCTCTTGTCCTATTATATGAATTTTATTGTCAAATATTTGTCAAACTATGAATTAAATGCATTGAAATGAATGACAGTAGAATTAGTCCAGGAGATTATTATGCATCATTTGTGTCCCAGATACTTTTAATGACGATGGTACCTACATACCCCTATTTTAAATTAACTAAAAATATGAAATGTTTAGATTTGATGAAATTAAATTAGCAGTACTGACTACATTTATAATCTTTGAACGGCGGCAATTACATAGGGAGTATCAATAAATTCGGTACACTTTTTGTGAAACTATTTTTCACAAAAGTCACAGCCGATGTTTTTCTTATCTCCATCCTCTGTGTCACTATAAAGATCTTCTTGGCATAATGAAGAGGATACTTTAGATTTGGAAGTAAGTTTTTGAGTTTTTTTTTTTTTTTTTCTTTTTGAGAGTTTTCTGAACTTTTTTTTAAAATTATTTTCTTTTGTCATTTTCCATTTTTCTTTTTTTCGGGCTACTTACTTTTTTTATGGATTTCGTCTTTTTCTTTTTATTATAGTAGGTAATTTCTCCATTTTTCAGAAGAAATTGCACTAGGGGTTTTCTCTCCTTTAGGTAAGTGAAGTTAAAAAAAATTATGTGGACGAAAACTAGATGAGAAGAAATTATTTAAATAAAATCATGTTGGTTCGGCGTCCAGAGTTTCTCATAAGAAAAACATGCTGGTCGAAAATCAGATCCATATTATTTAGATGTTCGACCACTTGAAACTACAGTGGACGAGAAATAGACTATAATAAGCTAGTTTCTCGACCACATAATTTTGCTAAATCTATATCCAATTTTCATCGCAGTATTTAAAGGAAAAGTGGTGGTCGTAAACTAAAAAACAAAAATTATATTCAATATTCAACTAACAAATAAAAATAGAAAGTTATCACGACTTTTCTAAATAGTTTTATATGAATTGAAAATGGACCACTTGAAACTCAGTTCTCGACCACCCCGGTCGTAAACTAAATTCTGATATATTTTGTATATTAGTTCCCGACCAACAAAAATTTTATGTAAAAAATTGTTTCAGACTATATTTTATCCGTAAATTCGATAGAAAAATTAACCTACTATAACACAAAATCAATTAGTGAAAAGTCTTACATTCAAGAAGAACATTATTTACTATTTTCTACATCAAACACACATACACTTTTTATAGACACAACGCGTAAACAACAACCCCCTTGTCAGCAACTATTTAAATGAATTTTGAAGGCGAAACCGTTTACCAACTATCAAATCTCAATGGTATTTTAGGTTGGGAAAACTGTCTGGCAGCCATTTCAGCATTTATTGGACAAAAACGAGTGCATATTTACTATTTATTCCTGATTAAAGGTGAATGTGGTCGAGAACTAGTAGTGGTCGGCAAACTAGCGCAGTCACCCTATCTCACAATTCCATTTGTACCCATTCACAGAATTTGAATTTTTTGAGTTAATGAGAAAAAAACTGAACAACAAAAAATCGTCTGGGCCGGACGACATTCCCGCATTTATGATAAAAAATACCTTCGATTTATTGATAAAACCTTTCGTTTTTCTAATCAATTTAAGCTTTTGCGAAGGTCGATTCCCAGACAGATTAAAAACAGGTAAAGTCATACCAATACATAAAAAAAATAATAAACAATTACTGGAGAATTATAGGCCAATCACGATGACCTCAGTTTTCTCGAAGGTGTTTGAGCATTGTTTTTTGAACAGATTTTTATTGCATCTGGATTCAGGCAATTTGATGTCAGATACACAGCATGGATTTAGAAGCGGGAGGTCGACTAACACTGCAATGGTGGCCATGTACGAATCCTTGGCGGATAGCATTGACGCGGGCGAGTGCCCTGTTGGGATCTTCTGCGATCTCAGTAGGGCATTCGACTGTGTTAATCACAATATTTTGGAGAGGAAGCTGTGTGAGATTGGTTTTGGTGGAAGCTGGAGTAAATGGATAAGATCTTTCATGTCTAATAGACGCCAGTATATTACAATTGTCAACTTGAGCCAGGGTAGGCAAAGATCAATTAACTCTGAGAATTTGTCTGTGTCGCTGGGTGTACCACAGGGCTCAGTTTTGGGCCCTGTGCTATTTCGAGTGTACATAGATAAAGTTGACAGTTCTGTTCCTCAGGGAAAGTGCGCAAAGTATGCGGATGATGTCGGTACCACTATTTCTGATCTAGATCAAGCAAGCTTGAGATCAAAATGTCATACTGCAATGTTGTCCTTAAATGAGTGGTTTTCAAATAACTCTCTCGTGTTTAATACAGAAAAAACAGTACTTATGCAATTTCATAACCATCAGAAATTAATTACCACACCACTTAGTGTGAATGTGGGTGGTCACGTGCATGTTGTCTCTGAAAGCACAAATTTCTTGGGAATTGGGCTTGATAAAAATGTAAACTTTAAAGCTCACTGTGATGGGCTCATACCGAAATTAAATTCCTTATCTTTCAAACTACGAAATTTAAGTTATATTCTCACTGTAGGCCAGTTAAAGGCAATCTACTGTGCGGAAGTGGAATCAAGGTTGCGTTACGGTGTCTGTTCATGGGGTTGGTCAACTAACGCCAGTCAAGTCTTTTTAGCACAAAAATCTATTTTAAGAAGTATGACAGGTATAACCTATTTGGATTCATGTGAACCATACTTCACAAAGCTTGAAATCTTGACATTACCAAGTCTATATATTTTTGAGATATGTGTCTACATTTTCAAAAACAAAAATAAGTTTCCTTTAGTCAGTTTTGTTCATTCAGTTAATACGAGACAAAAGAATACTCTCCATATCCCGCTAGCGCGTGGACAGATTGCGTTCAAAAGTCCAAATGTTGTAGGACCCCGCTTCTTTAACTTGTTGCCATTAGAAATTAAGGAAAGTAAAACATGTACTGTATTTAAATCTAGTCTTAAAAAGTTTTTAATCTCAAAATGTTTTTATAGTGTAAACGAATTTTATTGTTAACCGTTATTGTATCTCTCTTTTATGATTTTTTTTTTTTTTTTATATATATTATATATTTCTGTGCTTGTGTGAGTGCATGTATTCTGGGTGTGTGTGTGTCTGTCTGTGAATGCTTTCTAGTATTAGTTTTTAGATTTAAATTATCGCTTGACTATTCCTAATACAATGTATAAAATTGTCAGAACAGGAAATAAAGAATTTTGAATTTTGAATTTTGAATTTCTGTTTTCTTCGTTGCCACCGTCAGTTCCATTTCCTCTAATTTCGCTATGACGTTGCTTGTCGCATATAATGCTTTTTCTTCTATTTGTTCTCTGCTTTTAGCTCTCACCACTATTGCCAGATCATCCGCATATGCTATTAGTTCCACTCCCTCTTCTGTATAGATACGTAGCACCTGGTCATAGAACATGTTCCACAGGGTTGGCCCAAGGACCGAGCCCTGTGGGACCCCGCAGCTTATTTCAACTATCTCATCATTGGAGGTAACAATCTTTCGGTCTGAAAGGTACGAGCCAAGAATGTTCTGCAAATACTCGCTGATATTTCCTTTTTTAATTGTTGCCATGATATGCTTCCACGATGCTGTGTTAAATGCATTCTCTATGTCCAATAAAATCATTAGGCAGAATTCTTGGTTTTTTACCGCCTTGGTCTTGATGTTATCCCTTATCTGTTTGAGCTTTCCAAGCGCGTCGATAGTGGATTTCCCCTTCGTGAAGCCGTACTGATTTGTATGTATCAGATCCGTTGCGCATAAAGGCCTAAAAGCCGGAAGTGCGTTTGGTTCCTTTTTTGGTTTCTCGATTAATACCAGTCTTCCACATACTTGGAAACTCCCCTGTAGTGAGGCAATAGTTATAAGCCATTAGAAAAGCATCGTGGTTGGCTTTGGCGCATATACCTACTACTTCCGGTATAATGTTGTCGGGTCCCGGGGCCTTTTTCATCTTCAGCTGTTTCAGAGCAATTTCCAGCTCGCCAGTGGTAAGAATTGGTACTTCATTTTCAGGGATGACGTCTCTTTCCCATGTTATCCTTTCCTTTTCCGGAAAGAGTTTGGTGACCTGGGCCCTAACTATGTCTTCATCCAGGTTCTTTCGTGTTCTTAGTCTCATCTTTTTGGTAACTATCTGGTACGCCTTCCCCCATATATCCTGGTCCAAGTCTGCGCACAGATCTTCCCATTTCTTCTTTTTACTTCTCTTGATTTCCCTTTTTAATTCACGTTTCGCCTCTCTGTATTCAGCCATTGTCTCTTCTACTACTTCATTATCTGCATGTCGAGTTTTCAGCCTGGTCATTTTTCTCCTGAGTCCCACACATTTTGTTCTTTTCTCCGCTATTACTCCATTCCACCAGTAAACTGGGGGGTGTCCTTGCTTCATGCCTTCTATCTTCTGAAAGTGCATATCACATCTTTCCTTGATGCTCGTCATGAGTTTATCTGGGTTAATGCTGCCCATACCGGCAAACATGTTGGGAGCGTCCTGTTGTAAGTCTCTCAAGGAGCTAGGCATTGTTCTCCAGCCTCTCCGTTTAGATCTAGTGTTACTCTCCCGGGCTGTCGTTCACTTTAAAGCTGATCGATCGATGGTCGCTCAAGTTTTCCTTTTCCTCTTCCACCTTCCATCCAGTTATCTTTTGAAGTGTTCAAGAGGTGGACACCGTAAAATCTATGAATGAGCTTCCTTGTGCTCCCCAGAAGGTGGGTACATTTCCTTCATTTAGTACTGTCATACCAGCTGAATCTATCCAATCTTCCAGTAATATGCCTCTTTGGTTAGTCGATCTGGATCCAAATATGCCCGACTTAGCATTCAGGTCTCCTCCCAATATTATTTCTTTATTTGATCCTACCAGTCTGTCCAAGTTGTAAATTAGTTCCTCGAAATCTTCCAAATTACCGTTGGGTGAAAAGTAACACGAGCATACAGAAAATCCCCTATCCAGCTCCACGCATACGAAACCTTTCCCGCCGTAGCTTCTTGTCACATATCAGTATGAAACAATCACTCTCCGTGTCGCAGTAGTCCATAAATTTTGCTAGGTTTCTATTTGGCTCTTGCCCTATCACTACATCGATCATCTCTTCGCCAATTGCTTTTTGCAGTAAGTCATGTGCTGCTTTACTTCTATTTAGGTTAAGTTGTCGTATGCTTAGTTCTTTTATATTATAGTTTTCTCTTTGCGACAGAGAGGCATCTTCGGAATGTCCTACACTGTCCTGTTCCAGCTCTATGTCCTGTTTCCTTGCACATTGGGCAATGTGTTTCCTTTGTACACTTACTACTCTCATGTCCATCCTCTCCACAGTTATAACAAGCCTTGGTTCTATCTGGTCCCGTACAATTTTGCTGGACATGGCCATAGCTCCAGCATCTGTAACACTTGATCATTCTAATTCGTCTTTCTATTTTACATCTTACCAGTCCTATCTTGATAGTTCTCCTTAAGATTAGTGTTTCCGCATCTGTCTTGTTTATAGTCAATGTAATCGTCTGTGTATTATCATTTGTCGGCCTTAGTTCACTCAGCTTATATTCTTTATTGCCCAGGTCCTGCAGATTTTCTCCGAGGGCCTTTTTGACTTCTTCGATATCCGTAACTGCATCTATTCCCCTGATGTGTAAGGTTTCCTTATCCCTCCCGTCCTCCAGTCGCCAGACTCTTCCTTGTCCATCTCTATTTCTGCTTTGTATGGCTTTTTGGATTCTTTCTACCGCATCCTTGTCCTTATCCATAGTGATCAGGAGCCTACCCTCTCTCGTGCTCCTAAACCCTTGGATACTATCCTTCCCTGCAATATCCTTAAGTGATGTTTTAACGCTTTTTAGCGTTTCTGCGAATGTTTCTCCCCCAGCTTCGACGACTAGGGCATACGATTTCCTCTCCTCTCTTTTGCCTCTAGTCTTTGCCTCTTCCTTAGTATAGATCATCACCTTAGTTGAAGAACCATGGAAAGCTGCTTCCACCATTTTCCTAAATCTTTCTGTGTCAATGTTTTCGAGTTGGTGTGTCCCAATCCATGGCTCATCTTCTCCCTCTTTTTTTAATATACTAAGTCTTCGGTATATCTCTTCTTCCGTGTCATTATGTGTTATTTTAACAATTTTTCTTTTCGTTGTTTGTCCAGTGTTACATGTCTTTATCTTGTTTTCCTGCTCCAGAGTGCCAAACTCTTCTTGTATTTCTAGTAGCTCCGGAAACTTGTCCCTAAAGATCTTTTGTATTCCTTTTTCCATGTTAAGTTCAGTGGGTCCTACCCAGACTACCTTAGTGGTTTGGTCTTTGGTGTCCATGGGGCTTCCCACTTTCATTTCAGTGTTTGTATATACTTCTTCAGACCAGTTTTTATTTGCCATTTCCTCCCATTTTTGATATGTGTCACATTCTGAGATCTTGCTTTCATCATCCACAATTTCATCGTCCATCGTCTGGGTTCCGATCTCTCTGCATTCTACTTTTTCAATGTGTTGCGCATGTATGTTTACCGTTGCCATTGTTTCATTGATTTTCTCTCCATTTTGTCTCTGCATCCATTCGCGTATCCTAGGCTTTTTGAGTGTCTCACCGTAGCGCTGTAACTTTCTGCTGATTTCTTTAATTTCTTTTTTAGTATTATCGTTTTCATTCACTATCTTGCTCAATATCCCGATTTGCTTTTGTATAAGTTCCATCGTTGTATTCAGCTCTTCAGCCGATTGTGTGCCCATATTTGCGTCTTGCGTTTCTGGACTTGTGCCAAACTTTCGTTTTTTCTTTGGGTTGGCTATTGTCCATGGGGCATCACCAATATCTTCCTGCAGAGAGTTGGCTCTGCTCCTAGTTGTCTCCGTCTCGAAATTTATGTCGTCCCTTATCTTTATTGGTGACCTGGTGATGGAGTCTCTACGGGCGAAGGGGTTTATCTCCCCACTCGGCGCCAATGGTTGATTGCCCCCCCCCAGAATCCTTGGGGCAGCCCTCCTTAGAGGGGCGGGATTCCCCGGCATCACCGGAACCCGCCTGGGGTATAAATTTATTGTTTGCATCTCCCATTGTTTTGGTTTTGGGTGTCCTTCCCTTGGTTTGTTCGAGTGTCCTTCTCTAGATGAGTTGCCTTCGCTTCGGCTTGCGAGAGTCCCATCTACCCTCCGGAGTACCGCCTAGGCCTAAGGATCCGTCGTATCCGTAGAGAGTGAAAGTTTGAAAAGAGAGCTCCCTAGCCCTCGAGTAGCTCTAATAGCGTCGGGAGCTGAAAAAAAGAGTTGATCAAGAGAGATCGGATAGGAAAGAAGAAAGTGAGGGATCCGACCCAAGACAAGTTGAAGAAAGGTCTGGATCCAGCTAGGGTGCCACGGGAATGCCAGCTCTCGTACTCACAAGATGTCCTTGGCAACGACTGACCAGTCAAATGCACGGTCAGTCGCAACCCAATTTAACCCAATTTAGCCTAACCCAACTTAACCCAACTTAACCCAACTTAACCCAATTTAACCCAACCCATCGATTTCAAAATTCCAAGTGGAATATCTGGAAAACTATAAGTCCTAAAGGAAAAACTCACGAAGCTTTTTTGTAGATCTCGACGAGCTCTACAATATAGCCATGAACAGTTTTCCTCTAGGACTTACCATTACGGAGCTACAGCCGGTTGAAGTTTGGATTTTTGTCATTTTCAAGAGTTCACTGTGTTGAAGGGATAGGCCCAAAAATCAAAGTCAAAATTTCGAAATTTCACGATAGCCATTTTGTAGAAGAGATCCCAAAAAGTCCCGAAACCAACTTTTTTTCCCTTAATTTTCCGATTTTCCACAACTTTTCCAGGTTTTTTCGAATTATAGGAGCTCATTATAGGACAATTTCAAAATTTTTCAATAGAAAATGACTCCAGGAAAAATTCTGGAAAATTGATTTATTTAAGCAAAATTACAAAAATTCACCTCTTGCATTTTAATTTTTTTCTGAAAAACTGGCAGAGGAAAAATTTTTGAAATTCTTCCAGGAGAGAGAGGAAAGTGTGGAGCTCATCATAGCAAAATTTCAAAACTTTCCAGTGGAAAATCACTTCAGGAAAAATTCCAGAAAATTGACTTTTATAAGCAAAATTATAGAAAATTCACCCTTTGATATTTTAATTTTTTTCCTGGAAAACTGGTGAAGGGAAAATTGTGAAATTCTTACAGGAGAAAGAGGAAAGCCAGGAGCTCAATATAGGAAAATTTCAAAATTTTCCAGTGGAAAATCAGTCCAGGAAAAATCCTGGAATATTGACTTTTTTAAGCAAAATTAAAGAAAATTCCACTTCTTACATTTTAATTTTTTTCTGGAAAACTAATGGAGGGGAGAAATGAAAATTTTCCAGGAGAAAGAGGAAAGTGAGGAGATCATTATAGGAAAATTTCAAAATTTCCCAATGAAAAATAAGTCCAGGAATAGCTCTGGAAAAATAATTTGATATGGTCCCATTAAATGCTTCATAACTCTGAAACGTCTGAACCGATTTGGATGAATCTTGTTTCATTCGGAAGAGGATTAAATTGCCTACAAAATGGCCATAATTTTCCGATGTTTCAACATAAATTTTCCGTATTCGCGCCATCTATTAGTAAACTAAATAAAATTGCAAATTACAGAATTCTGTAATATGAAGATTTGATTTTAATGTAAATTGGGGTAAATATTATCGTTTTAGGCAATTTTAATTAATAAATACGTGAAAATTAATTAACTAATTGACATAATATTCAAAATTTTGGACCAAATTGTTAGGGACGAAAAGTGCAAATTACAGATTTCTGTAATAATAATTAAATGTATTTATAAACAATTATTGTTCAATTATTGCCAAATATGATTATTTTAGACGAATGGCGATTAGATAAATTATCAAAATCGATTAATTATCGAATAAAATGTAAAAATTGATCAACAAAGTTGCTAGCGTCATCTATTAACGAACAGCCAAAACTTTAATGAAACTAATTCGATTTTCATACAAATGACGTTTAATTACTAATAGTTAATAATCAATAAACCAATAATAATCGAAAAAAAACATTGAAATTAACTAATTAGTACTTACATTTGCATAAAATCTCCAACTGTCCAAACTTGCAAATTGCAGATTTCTGTAACAATAATCAATCGATTTATAAGAGAATAGTGATTGATTATCAATAAAAAGTAATATATATAGACATATAAAGCAAGTAATCAATAGAAAAATTATTGAAATTGATAATAATTCGAAAAAACAAATTATTTAAACTACCAGCGTCAGCTATCAACGAGCGGCCAAAGTTGCCAATTACAGATTCTTGTAATGGTAATTAATTGATTTTAATAAAAAATAAGGTAATTATTATTGTTTTAGGCAAATAAAATTAGGAAAACTCAATACAACCAATAAAATAATTGATAAATTATGCAAATTTTGGAACAAAATGGTCGGGGGCCAAAAAATGCGAATTACAGATTCCTGTCATGATAAATTTCCAATTTTTAGTTAGACTCTTGATTATTAGATGGCGCCACTAATAAAATTGTTTAAATAATTTTTAAAAAAAAGTTTATTTTCAATGCAATTAGGCTCATTAAAATCCTCTATCGATTGGAACATGATTCGTTCAAATCGATCAAAGCCTTCCAGAGTAATGGCCGATTAATTTTCCGATTTGAATATGAAAAATTAAGGAATTTTCATCTTTGAAGGCCTATAACTAGGAAACTGAGAAAATCTAGAAATTCTGGATGAAACTATTTTGTAGCAAATTTAATCCTCTATCCAATGAAACATTATTCATTAAAATAGGTCCAGGCGTTCCAGAGTTATGGCCGATTTAATGGGACCATGTCAGGCTGGAAAAGCCCCCTATAGATTTTATTTTTTTTCCAAGCTTAGAAGACGTCCTACCGGAAAATGCCAAATAGCTTCTCTGCTTGTTTTAACCTCCTCTATAAACTGAAATTTTTGTATTTCCAAAGTTGGGAAAATTTCATTTTTCCATTTTGTGGGGTATAGAAGAGGCCCGGAAAATCCTGGAAAACGGGAAATTGAGGGGGAGAAAGTGAGTTCCGACATTTCTTTGGATGTCCTCTATGACGTAATCAAAGAAAATCCGGGAAATTTTGACTTTGATTTTTTTGCCAAAAAAAAATCCTGGTCTATCGATATTAAAATTTCCAAGTGGAATATCTGGAAAACTATAAGTCCTAAAGGAAAAACTCACAAAGCTTTTTTGTAGATCTCGACAAGCTCTACAATCATGTAGCTATGGACGAATTTCCTCTAGAACTTACCGTTACGGAGCTACAGCCGGTTGAAGTTTGGATTTTTGTCATTTTCCAGCGTCTCCTGTGTTACCATAGGACTAAAAATCAAAGTCAAAATTTCGAAATTTCAAGATAGCCATTTTGTAGAGGGGATCCCAAAAAGTCCCGAAACCAACTTTTTTTCCCCTAATTTTCCGATTTTCCGAGACTTTTCCAGTGTTTTTTAAATTAAATGAAGCCTCTTGTAAATTATTTTTTTTCTGGAAAACTAGCAAAGAGCAAATTTTGAAAATTTTTCAGGAAAAAAAAGGAACGTGTAGAGCTCATTATAGGAAAATTTCACAATTTTCCAATAGGAAATGACTCCAGGAAAAATTCCAGAAAATTTACTTATTTAAACAAACTTAAGAAAAATTCCTCTCTTGCATTTTAATTTTTTTCTGGAAAACTGGCGAAGAGAAAATTTTGAAATTTTTACAGAAGAAAGAGGAAAGTCAGGAGCTCATTATAGGATAATTTCAAAATTTTCCAATAGAAAATGACTCCAGGAAAAATTCTGGAAAATTGATTTATTTAAGCAAAATTACAAAAATTCACCTCTTGCATTTTAATTTTTTTCTGAAAAACTGGCAAAGAAAAAATTTTGAAATTTTTACAGGAGAGAGAGGAAAGTGTGGAGCTCATTATAGGAAAATTTCAAAACTTTCCAGTGAAAAATCACTCCAGGAAAAATTCCAGAAAATTGACTTTTATAAGCAAAATTATAGAAAATTCACCTCTTCCATTTAAATTTTTTTCTGGAAAACTGGCAAAGGGTCAATTTTGAAATTTTTCCAGGAAAGAGAGGAAAGTGTAAAGCTCATTATAGGAAAATTTCAAAATTTTCCAATGAAAAATAACTCCAGGAAACTAATAAGAGCCCCATGTAAACCATATAAAATAGTTTACCAGTCTTACAATTAATTCTAAGAGTGGTCACGTGGTTTTTCACTAATAATATAAACCATATAAAATAGTTTACCAGTCTTACAATTAATTCTAAGAGTGGTCACATGGTTTTTAACTAATAAGAGCCCCATATAAACTATATAAAATAGTTTACCAGTCTTACAATTAATTCTAAGAGTGGTCACGTGATTTTTAACTAATAAGAGCCCCATATAAACCATATAAAATAGTTTACCAGTCTTATAATTAATTCTAAGAGTGGTCACGTGGTTTTTAACTAATAAGTGCCTTATCTAAACAATATAAAATAGTTTACCGGTCTTACAATTAATTCTAAGAGTGGTCAAGTGGTTTTTAACTAATAAGAGCCCCATCTAAACCATATAAAATAGTTTACCAGTCTCACAATTAATTCTCTGAGTGGTCGCTATGTTTTTAACTAATAAGAGACCCATCGGAATCATATAAAATAGTTTACCAGTCTTACAATTAATTCTAATAGTGGTCACGTTGTTTTTAACTATTAAGAGCCCCATCTAAACCATATAAAATAGTTTGCCAGTCTTACAATTAATTCTAAGAGTGGTCACGTAGTTTTTAACTAATAAGAGCCCCATCTTAACCATATAAAATAGTTTACCAGTCTTACAATTAATTCTAAGAGTGGTCACGTGGTTTTTAACTAATAAGAGCCCCATCTAAACCATATAAAATAGTTTACTAGTCTTAAAATTAATTCTAACCGTGGTCACGTGGTTTTTAACTAATAAGAGCCCCATATAAACCATAT